ATTTTGTCTTCATTGTACATGTTGCACATAATCAAATGAAACAAATTGTAGCTTGCATACGTCATATGTTTCGTTGCATGTTTAAATTTGGAAACAAACTTAAATGTCTGTTCACATGCTTCTGTGTTTAAGTCACAAAATTCTTTAACTTTGTGTGGATTTACATTTTGTTTGCACCATTTGTCAACGTGGTTTTTAAAGTGCATTTTATCCACTACCATTGTAAGATTTGCAATGAACTTTCCTGCCGCTGTTTTTTGTCGACTGTTGACATAGCGCTTTAAATGGCAGGCGTCATCATAGGCAAATAATCGTGGAAAATGCTGCACAGCATGCCAAAGCCAAGTGAGGAATACATATACTTGCGAAAGTGATTCGCAACCAAATAGCTCGGTTATACCCACAACCACCCCGCAGTTGTACACCGCACAGCATATTCCGGCGGACCGGTGTTTGTTAGCTGCCTGTTTCCTTTTCTCTGTTTTACACTGCAGTGAATGTTGATTCTCATCTGTATCAGGTTGCGTTTCAATCTAAATGTCAAGAAAAAAAAATATTTCCCAACTAGATTTTTTCGTATTCTTGTTTACCGATATTGACATATATATTTCTTTTAAAGTTCAATCGTATCGTAGTTTGAAAACATTTATTTTGAGAGAAAGATTTATGATGGGATGGGTAAAAATGGATTGACAAGAGAAAACAGAGAGATTAAAGGACAAAGAAAATGGAATAGTTCATCTATTTCCTGATTAATATTCTTAAAATACAGTATTATTTCACAATGATAAAAATCAGTGATATTTAAACTTTACCTTATTAACCTTCATAAGAGAATGCTGATGATTTACACAGAAGTAGGAACCTTTGACAGGCGTCTGATTACAACCAATCGTAATGCTTCCAATTTCCTCACAACAAATGTCGCCTTCCATTTATTCGCAAACTAGTCTGGTGCCTTTCATATGACCATCTATGATAAGTGCTTGACTACAATCTGAAAAAAAATCATGTATCTTAAATCTATTTAAAATTTATACAATGTTTTTTGCTCACGAAACGTCTAAAGGCGAACCATTTGTATTCGAAACCTCACCTTACACAATGTTAATTAAAATAGAAATACAATATTTTGGATATAATAGGGTATATTTAAGGACCCTCTCTACACAAGTGCAAAATATTTTTTGGACTTTGAGAAAAATATATTGTATAAAGGAGCTAATATTGAGGTTATTTATCTAATTTTCACTGTATGGTGCGTGGCATTTACCCCCCGGAAAAATGTTCAAAGACAACACAGTATCCCTGAACAGAAATCACTGTTTATTACTTCAATATAGAAAATACATGCAAATAATATGTTCATTTAATTTATCCTGGCCTTTTAAAATGTTAAGAATACTAAAATTAATTACAAATTGATTAATATATTGTATATTTTATTTTTTTTAAAATTCAGATCTAAGGGCAGATACTCTAACTTCAGAAAAATACCTAAGAATCAGAACTCTTTAGTGTGCAGTGTAGAGAGATCCGTGATAGATGAGCACATTTAGGGTATATATTGCTTGCTGTTTCAATGAAATGAGTACATTTATTCAATAATTAAAGATATTCAAATATATTTAAGGTGATAAGAATTAACCTAAATTGTATCGGTCAACGGAGGTAGACTTTAACAGCCCCCAAATCAACAAAATACTCGCGTTCATATGACTACAAAACAGCATTTAGGTCATTGAACTGATGAGGGCTAGTCCTTGCACAAGTTTTCTACTGATTAAGGTTAGTCGTGCACACATTAATAAATTAGGGTTAGTCCTTATACAGTTATTCGACTGATTAGGGTTAGTCTGGCACCCACCTATGAGAATAGGGTTAGTCCTAGCACAGTTATTTGACTGATTAGGGTTAGTCTTGCACCCACTTATGAGATAAGGGTTAGTCCTCTTACATTATTCGACTGTTTAGGATTAGAAAATTATATGCGCGGGGACTACAGATACACGTCATAGTCCTGCAATCTATATGAATGATTAGGGTTCATGACCTCTTATTTAAGAAAAAAATAAAAAAAAAAAAACATTTGCTTCTACAGTTTTCGAAAGATCATTATCCTTTAAATATTTCTTATTTCATAAACATACTCAATTCGCCCTCGGCGACAATAAATTTTAGCGAGTTTTCTTGGGGACCGATGAAGTTGTTCCACAAAAACCATCTTCAAAAAAAATTACGTAATATATACTGAGCTTAAATATTAACTAAATTTACACACCTTTTGACTTGCAGTTGTCACAATGATGACTACCAGACCATTTCTTTGTAAAGTGTTTATGTATCCTTGGGAGAAGCCTTTGTATTTCAGCATCGACTTCATAACACACCAACGTATCGATGTTTCTCTCCCCCAAACCGATTTTCATTTCTATCAAATGCCATTTAAACCACGCCTCAGACAATCGCCTTCTGTCCATTACTCTAACCTTGCTATATACTGACCAGTCTTCCCCAAAATTTACATCATTGTATGCGTTTGAAATTCCTTCAAATGCTGATCCATTTCTGTACCTGTAATAAGATTAATTCATTTTTTATAAAATATGACGAAATGAAATACTAGTAGTACATTTAAAAAAAATTTAATACACCACTTTACGAAAATTCTAAACATTTAATAAGGCCACACTAATTTAATTTTTTGCTCGGTGGACCTCGCGCGCTCTCATTAAAAAAAACTAAAGAAATTTAAATTCCCGGCACCAAGAGAATGCTGTGATCCTTCCTGTTTTATTTCCGTTTATAATTTTCATACTAGTATTTTACGTATGTTGAATTTAAAAACCAGAAACAATGTTATTGTATGTTCATTTTTTTTTCATGTTCTGTAAAATAATGGCTTTACATAAAGTAATATTTTTTATCACTTGCAGGCTTCTCTTAGTCCGACGAACAACAAAAAAAAATGGTTGGGACTAAAAATAGAAAAACATTTCATTTACATGAAGTACAGCTTAAAATACATGTATAATGTATTTCAATAAGACTTACATATCTCGATCGACAGCATAAATCAATTGGGTTTTGAACACAGTGTCCCTGGTGCTCATAAAGTACTGCTGTCCCAAAATATCATTATAGTAAGTTTCTAAATCTCCGTGCTTGAGGGAATTTAATGAGTAAACAGTTTTACATTTTTTACATGTCCCAGTATGAAGCTGTCCAGGAATTCCCCCGCCATTCCTTTCAAAAACTGTGCACTTCGACGAAGACCGGAAATGCAAAACTGCTCCGCAACAGACATCTACCGGGGGAAAAGGTTTCTCAAACCCACATCATTGGCTCCACTCTCCTTTATAAAATCCAGAACTTCCCTCTCCACATAATCTTCACAAATTATCATTGGTGCATCCCCATATCTAGGCAGTATCTCCTCCATTTTTTCAGTAGCCACAGTTACTTCTTCTTTTGAATATTCATTTTCTCCTGTCGTTCTTTTTAGCACATCAGTTATGATTTTTTCCCGATTTTTTAAACCCTTCGGAAAAATTCTCATTAAATTGACGCAAGTCAGAATGTCCTGCAGCCTTCTAAATGGTCTCAGTATAGCATTGAAATTCATTGCAATTTTTTTTTTTAATTCGGCAACGGTTTTCCATATTTCACGTTATATTTTACACTATGATTATGACGTCATACATATACAGATCAACATCATGAGGCAGTATTATTTTAAAATTCTACAAATTATTAATTCCAGAAAATAAATAATTAAAATAAATCGTTTTAATTTACAAATAGTTTTACCCATGACATACTATTGATGCTTTCCATTTTTTTTTTATTTTGGCATAATTCTCATAAATTTCATTGTAAAGTAAATAAATTAGAACTAATGAAATAAATGAACATTTAAATAGATCAAAAAATTAAAATAATATAATTACATGTAAATATTCTGAATCTAATTCAATAATTAGTTGCATGTTTTATTCATTTTCGTTATAAACACATTTATTTCATAATCACCCCTTTCTGTATCACTCTCACTTTAGATTTCAATAATACAATTCCCGCAATTAAAATACTTAAGAAATGAAGTCCGCGTTTTCGTGAATGTTGCAGAATAACCTCCGAGGTCGAGAAATGTTGTTTGAAATATAAAAGCCGAGGCGTTAGCCGAGGCTTTTATATTTCAAACAACATTTCGAGACCAAGGAGGTTATCCTGCATCATTCACGACAACAAGAATTTTATTTCTATTCTGCTGAGATCGCTAAAATACGGCTGATTTCTCTATAGAGAAACGAATTAGGTCACCATGTCTCGATTACGCTGTTCTATTTAACACAAGGGAGAAATTTTGTTGATTTACCTATATATGGAATGCAAATGATTTGAGCTTTCGTTGCATTAAAAATAGTCTTGTTTAATTACAAATTTGTTCGTAATATGTATTGATCAGTTAAAATGAATATACAAAAACAAAATCATGTTCTTTTTTTACTGCTAAAATCACGTTGTTTAATGTGTAGGGAGGTCCGTGGAATAGCCCCGCTTAGCTATAAAAACCGACATTCATCAGCAACTTGATCAATGCAATTTACAGTGTTTATACTGCAAAAGACGACACATCGATGCAGTCTAATCAAGTATTTCATTCTACAGCCAAACATGCATTTGAATTGTTCAGATTTGATACGTGTTTCTGATCTGATAATTTTCTGATGACGTTCGTGGTCTATTGGAGAATAATGTCCAGGCGGCTTCTTTTGAAGTTTTCAATAACCGTGGTAGAATGCCAAATAACGTCGGATTAGTGACGTTACCTGTTGTTACCTAGTGACGTTAATTAGTAACAAAACAAAACAAACGTCTATTTGACGTTAGGTGCATACCGTGTAAGCATCTATAATTTTAAAAGCATCCGTGATTCATAATACGACATCCTGATATAATGATTTCATTTCAATCAAGATCTAAACAATGCTACGAAGAAAGGATATCCGTTCGAGATGTTTTCGATCAAAAAACTGGAGATATGTTGGAAAATATTTCTTCCGCTAACAGCATACCGCCCGAGTTTCTGCTTCCACCATTCTTAGCTGCTTGTGGACACTTCCTTGGAAAATCTGTAGTTTGTCCTTGGGGAACCTGGAAGCAGCCGGCAATAATTTATTCCACTACAGTAGGATTTACCGGCACCAACAAATCTGCTGCCATAGAAATCATAAAGGGAGCCATTCAAGAAGTGGAATCTGCACAGGGAATACCCTTTCAGAACTCCCGAATTAACCAATGTAAGATTTTTGTCTAACTTCAGGACAACAACCAGCTTGTTTTAAGACATATCTTTGGTGATTTTAATTGAAACAACTGTTTGCTAATATGAATCAAATATTTGTTGTAAATTATTAATTTCCCTTAAGGATTCGCACTAAATGAATTATACATAAATACACATTACACCGTAACACTGTATAAATGTGCCTGTACAAATGTAAAGGGGGAAAGTAGCTAATAAAAATGATCTCATTAATTAACATTTATGCCAGACCAATAAAATGCATTTTTGTTTGGGTGGTTCGGGCGGGGGGGGGGGGGGGGGGCAAGAACATACACTTTCAGTTGCAGGGCACTATCAACTATGAAAAATTTACAAGCTATAAAAAGGGGAATCATCGAATGTTCTATTGATGGGGCACAAACACATATAGCTGTTTCCTAATACACTGGCATAATTAAATTGACTTTATTTTAAAAAATTATAAATACAACATATCAATCGTGTATTCACTTAATTTTTTTCTAAAAGGGAAAAGGGGCACGCCCATAAAAAAAAAATTACCCAGAAATGTTTTTGATAAGGAAGGAATATAAAAATTGTAATAATCTCCAGAAAATATTATTTTTATAATAGCATTATATGAAACAATTATTAAATAAACTTTACATTTTGTGTTGTAGCTGCAACAGTGGAATCACTTTTGAAACAACTCACACAAGAAAACAGGCAAATTATGATGTGGGACGAGTTAAAAACTTGGCAAACAAGTCTTGGATTGTATAAATCCGGCAGTGCGTCTGAATACGACACAACCATTTATCTTACTGCGTACAATGGTGGTTCCCTAAAACGGCAGACATGCAACAGTATGTAGAGTATTGCAATATATCTTATATAATAATAATTTTAATGATTATGAAATATAATAATAATGATATAATAAGTATATATCTGTTACATCGAGCTCATACATTTTGCTTTGAAATTGAAATACTTCAAAATTGCTTCAATTTGAAATTCATTTATATATTAAGCAACACGGCAATTCCTTGTCCTGTCTTAAATTTGACCGGAATGTCACATCCTGGAGAAATCTGCAAACGACTGGACGAGGAGAGAAAAACTTCCGACAACAACGATGGACTGTATAGCAGATTTCTTATGTGCATGCCGGAACCAGTTTTCTCATTTGCAGACGAAGTACAGGAGGTTAGGCAGGACCTTCCCAGCTTGGCAAAGTACTTTTATGAATTATATCTTTTACGTGTAGTAATACAACCCGTATTCAATTATTAGTGATCTTCAGTTAGACCACACTACAATGTACTTCTTTTTTAGTATAACTTTAGTATAACTTATAAAATTGCCCAAGGAAATCATATATCAATGTGCCTATTTGTCCATTTTATCCACAAAGGATTTATGCATTTTTTCCCTCATTTCTCATGTTATTTCAGGTTGTTCTATGCAGTGGAGAAAATGAATGTCGAACTTATTTGTACACTTACGGAACATCAGCTCTAGCTATTGCTAAACAGTACTACAATGATCAACAAACCTTCCTCAAAACAAACCATCAAAATGATACGTTCTTGTCAGGTAATTTTCTTTAAAGTCGTAATTAAACATGATAATTGTATAAATACAGTACGTACACTACATAATTATACAGAAAAGGAAATTGGGATCGGGAATTATAAAACACTGTATAAAATTTACAGGACTGATTGGCAAAGCCAAAGGCCAAGTCCACAGATTGGCCATGATCATTGAGGCTATATGCAAAGCGCAAGACGTACTTCGTGAAATTGATGAGGCAAACTCGGACAGGATCAACGAGGACTTCATAAGAAAACTGGATGAGTATCTGCGACAGAAGACCCTGGACAAGATCATCTCTGAGTCCGCCACCAAACAAAGCATTGCATTAAATGACTATTTCCTGCACCAGAAGAAAATTCTTGCTGGATATAGTAAAGAAAACGACAGCAAACCTGACTTGCTGAACGCAGCCCTGGTGAAGAAAATCCTTCTCTGGCCCGGTAAAGCTGTCAGATGCCAAGACGTTGCACGATGCTCTAGGTCTAGCGCCGATACCATTAAACAACACATGAAAGAGCTAGCAGACACGGGTTTTGGCGGTGTAAACAACGAACGGCCAGTTGGAGGTGGGAGAGTCACAGTTGTCTTCGACAAAACAAACGTCACAGATTTTGATTTGGAAAAAGCCATGGAGTTCGGAGAGAAATTGCTAAGATTCAACATTAAATTCGAAGAATACCAATCACAATTTGAGAACACTGAAAATTATTTGTGTCAATCCAAAAAACAAAAAATCATGTAACAATTTTCAGTAAAATTAAAAACATTCGAATTGAAGCTTGTCTTCTATCATTGATTTGAAATAAAACTTTATTAACTTTTAAGAAATGCAATAAATTACTTAAGCATGAATTTTTCATATATAATTCATCTCTCCAAATTAAATGGAGAACTACTATTTTTACAGGGCATATTGATTTATTATAATGATTAATAATAAGCTAATTCCAATATTTATATAAAAAATAAGGTTTATAATGAGAGTTTTTAACTGAAACGGTCTATCTTCAATTACCTGTAACTTATCATTTTGGTTTTTGGCATTTATGGTTTCATTTCACAACAAAAGTTTCAATGTAGTGTCTAGATCGAATCTATATTGTTGACATCAAAACACAGTAATAAGCTTATTGTTTTGATTAAAAATAAATAATTTTTTTTTGTTATGTCGATATCGACTCGATATCGTCGATATCGACACAGAAGTAATGCCACTATAAAGTTACTAACCAAAGAGAAGGTTTGGGTCGATATCGAGTCGATATCGTCGATATCGACAGATATATAAGGCCACTTGATGTCACAATAAACTTCCTATCTATTATAATACTAGAGGGTTGTGTCGATATCGAATCGATATCGTCGATATCGACATATTTTTCTAGACACTAAAGGTCTCATTCTAAAAAAATTGAAGCATAAGTCGAATCGATATCGTCGATATCGACATATATAAGGCCACTTGATGTCACAATAAAGTTTCCAATCTAATACAAATATAACACTATAGGTTTCTTTCGATATAGAATCGATATCGTCGATATCGACAGAGATATAAAGTCACTTAACGTTTTACATATATAACATGAAGTTTTATATATCATATAACAAAACGTCATTACAAGGTTGTGTCGATATCGAATCGATATCGAATTCAAAGGTAACATAGGTAAGCCAAGTCTTAAATTATGACAAATTTCTGTCCATATCGATTCTACATCGTGTCTTGGACATAACTCTATTATCAAGCTTGCACAGTTCGTTGAATACCGCTAGAAATGAATGCTTTAAATTTACATCAGTGAGATCAACTTGTAGGGGTAAGTTTTCGTGCTTCCAGGTAAGATCCTTAGAAATGGAATTCGAACACCGAGTGTTGCAATAACTATGATTTCCACAATGGATGTAGTCCTTCTTATAATAAAATCCATTTCCCTCTTTGCCAGCCATAACATGTAACTATAATCTTTCACTAGAGCATTTATCGTTTTAGCTTATTTCAAGGGTCATGCAAGGATTTGCATCCATACACTTTTACTTGCACATCATTAACATTTCGAAATGCTTGGTTAATTTCCAAAATTTTATTCATATTTTTTTGCTGGACATTTTCATTACATGACTTGCTGTTGTGAACATGATTAATGAGATTAACCACAGTCCCATTGTGCACATATGTAACATATACTCACATTGACATCTATCTACATCTTTTAGGACAATGTTTCTGATTTATAAATCATTAAAAACTATTGTGGAGCTTACTATCTACATAAATTTATACAAATTATCTAGTCATTGTTTCAACAAAGAAATCTATTACAGGGGAAATTACATTTTGATTTTAACACTTAATTTAATAGCATAGTATATATAAAATATAATAAAATATAAGATAATTATTATAATATATCTAATATTGGTTGCCAGATTTCATTAAAATTATCTAAATAACTATTTGAGCAATACACTTTTTTTTAAGCAGTAATTTCTTTTTCAAAATATTTAAAAAGTTGTGAAACTCTGGTACATTTACTTTTCTAATGACATCCAAATTAGATACTGTCACCGAATATATAGTTGACTATATAGTTGCTAAAGTGTTTTTCTGAATGTTGCACAAAATGTTTACTAAATGTTGTACATAGTTTTCCTTTGGAAATGCAGACTTTGGTAAGGATAGACAGAAGTTGAATATTTTTGTGTTATTTCTTCCTTTGTACAATTAAGGTCAAGCTTAGTCTTGAGAATGAGTCCCAATTTTCACTTGAAGAGGACAATTTTCTAATCCTTAAGGTATTTTTTTTAATACAGGGAGTTAAGTCTGCAAGAATTTAATGCTCTCCTTATGAACCCTTGTCTTACGGTTAAGTCAAATAAGAGGATTGCTTTTGTCATGTGCTCTTGAATGTACAAGGTACGCACAAATTGCACCATAAGAAAAGTAAATCAAGGTTTTTACAGAATAATTAAGAATGATGTTTCGGAGGTCCGTGTTTGCTCTGCTCCTATTTTGTATATTGTTAAATAGACTTTGACATTTAATACTGTTCGTTATCTCCATATCCTTATTTATTATTTTAATACAGTATAAATATTGGTTCTTATGCATATAGGATCACTCCATGGCTATTTATGGATTTGAATGTTCTCTTACGGATCGTTGTTTACTTGCCTTTTCCATTTCCGAGATAAATGAGTCTAGTTTTAATCCCGAGGGCAAATATCGTCAAATACAAAAACAATTGCTGATTGGTCGAGTGGTGTCGCTGGACTCTAATCACAACTTTTTGAAACAGTAGCCTTATGAAGAGAGTGGCGTATCAGAAACCCTTGGCTAGCGAAAAAGTGGAAATGCATTTTCTCTTCGTTACTTTGATCTGCCTCTGATTATTAAGTAATCAAAGTATGCATGCTATGTGTATAATAGTGATAAACAATAACGCCTCTTTCAACATTGTACATTTCATTGCATTTGGTTTAAAACACGAACCAAATTCAATTGCTGAAAATTTGTTAAATGATACTCAGGTGACCAACACTTTATTAGGCCCATGTGTCTCTTGTTTCAGATGTAGTCATTGGAATCCATCGGAACATAAACGAGATTCTTCTCTCATACTGTTTTGGGACTTTTTAAAGCTAAGAGTTACAACCTCAGCTCTTAAAGTGTAGTTTACTGAGCATTATCTCTTGAATTATGACATTTTGAGTTGAATTTTTTTTTTGCATAACACTGATTTAACTGACGTGAGATCCTAAATGATCGTTTCAAATCTTTAAAGTATATGTCTAGATTCAACTTTTTAGTCCCAAATTATGCCATCAGGACTGGAATGAACGTTGATGCCACTGACTGAATGAAAATCAGCACCATTGATCGTAGCATGGACCAGTTCTGAGATGCTGAAGGTTTTACCCTGGTGTGTCAGCATAAACATCGCAAAATTTACGAGTCGGAGTGCTACGTAAAAGGGTTGTTTGGTTAAACGGAGAAAATTCTAACTATGTTGTAGTAGTATAGTATTGAGGCAATTTTCCTGGTTGGCCTTATATAGAATTTTAAAAAGGAAAACATAACATGTTCGAAAACCCGCCCTCGTTATGAACCCAATACCCGATCTTCTTTGAAACGGCAAACCAACCGAGGTTTACAATAAACTTTTAAATATTACAACTAAGTGGGCCAACAATTAAACGACAGGTAAGAGGTATGCGACAACATATTAAACGACACGAACAAGGACACACGAACATTTATTCTTAGGCAAA